ACAAGAGCGTGGACTTACCAAATGTATACACAGATGGATACAAGGAGCGGTCAGCAACCGAAAGCGCATTCCTGCATATGACAGTGTTATCGTTAATGCATTCCCATTCCGAGACGTCATTCCTTGAAACCTCCTTCTCGTTCAAAGGGCGCAGACGAACTGATACCAAAATTCTCTCTTCACGCCCACTTGTCTCTTCCATTATTAGCTCGTCCTCACCGACAGCTCCCATTTCTCGCCGTCTCCTCTCGGCTTCAAAGCCGTAAACCTTATGTAACTCAGAAATTAAGAGTCTAAGACCATTCTTAAAGAGATCTATTAGTGCAAATTGACAGCATTCCTCGGCGTCTCTTCCTTCAGCTACCAACAGTACTTTCTACTGATTTGAAATTTAGATTCACGATGCACCAAGTGTTGTTAGGACCAAAGAAGCAGTAGGGCCGACAGAACCTCACTGCCTTGCCTCCTCAATGATCTGCATCAACAAACTAATCATGGGTCAGACGATCAGAGCAAATTCGCAAACATCTTTTTTCAGTGTTCTCGTCAGAAGCATGAATCTAAAATTCTTTGTCTTTTTTATTATTAGCAAAAAACGACAGAACATATGCATACTCAGGATCACAAACAACCAGCCGTCGATTTATTATATTACACAAACATTTTGGAGTTTTCTGATAATGGTCCATGTTAACAGTCTGTCAAAGAAGACTCCGAGTCTCCCATTCATATTAAATCATTTTCCAAATTATAAAAATAATTGTACATGAACTTTCATCTCAGCTCCGAATAATCGGCAATCAACTTCAAGGAATGTTTACAACCTTGGCAAGATTCTTCACAACCTCGATACTCATTGCGACGCAGAGGAAGTTCGGCATTCGATTCCAATAAAGAAGTTAGGAATTCAGTTTCTTCTCTTCTAGCAGTCTCACAATTTATCCCAAATTTGGCGCTATTAACAAAATCACAACAGAATATAAAAACCGATAGGAAAATCATAACAAAATTGAAACAATGTTACCAGAATAGAGGTAAAATAAACGAAATGTTCCACTGATTTCCTGCAACACTAAACGTGTATAATAGAATCTAAGATCACGCAATGCCGCATACCTACAGTGACGCAATTCAAACCGAATCGAAAACCTTGAAGTCAAACTCGACCATTTCAGCGCAAGAGACCGAGTAGAAACATTCAGTTCCCTGTGAAGTAATTCTGCCCGGACCGAACCGATCCTGCGCCACAATTCGGAAAGCAGAAACTGTAAACAGGAATTATAATGCGAAACAAGAGAAAAACGGAATCGGGAAGTGGAAAAAGTAAAAGAGAAACGTAAATAAGCAGGAAATGAAAGCAGTGAAAGTTGAGTGGAACTGAACTGAAAAGACGTCAAATCTAGAGAACGCAGATCAGAATCTGTGCGGCACTGTTGCTGAAAATGAGCGCAATCTCACTCCGGGCAAGGGCAATGGCATGTTCTGGATCTGGATTTGGAGATTTTTCTGTCGATTTGGGGGACAGAAGCTTTTTGTTTCTGAGGTGGAGACGAGAGCAGATACAGAGAGAGGTTATGGCGTCTACTTCTGGGTTTGGTGCTAATCTGCCGTAAAATATTATTATTATTAGCCCTTTCGAATTAAAACGGCCGCGCCAAGGGGTTGAATCAGTTGCTTGCTTTTTTGTCAATTTACCACTTCAACCTTTCCAAATATTTTTTTAGTTTATCCTATTTTCAAGACTCAAGCTACTAGCAATCTTTTTCCTTCAAATTAAATATATAATAGCTCAACATATGTCTGAATGAGAAGATTTAATTTTCGCCCAATAATTATTCTATAAATAAATGGTGAGATATAGAGATAATTCGCATCTATCTACAATCAAAAAGTTATGAGTTCGATCCTCTTGAAAATATATGTCAATTACTAGTGAGTTAAGTTCGTTTTGGCCTATCCTTTTAATTTAATTGATTATGGTTAGAAGCCATAACCAACAATAAATGAGACATTTTAAAGTAATTCATTTAACTTTTAAACTTGAGATACTATATAGCTAACTTAAACTTTAGGTCTCTCAATATCATGCTATTTACTTCAGGATTGAGCTCGTGTAGATTTTTTTTTTTCTCACAAAATTTAGATATCATCCCTATTTGTATACCAAAATCTTCTCTAATTCTAATTAATATGCAACTAGAGTCTATTGGAGCTTAAACCTATTGGTTACTTTGCCAACATGAGCTTAGAAACTTTTTAGAATTTATACATTAAATTGATCAAATTTTAAAAGAAAATATTATGTATTTAATATATTTCAACCTAAACGTTTATTTAATTTTAATTTTAAATTTTTTTGGGAAGGACATATGAAATTATTGGTTTCATCATTCTAAATTATTGTATACATATACATATAGTTTGTTTATTTTTTCCATTCGTTTGACACGTTTATTACAAAAATCAAGCAAGTAGAGGAAGAGCGAAGAGGGGAGAGGGTCTTTAAATAGATTTTCCACCATATTGCGAAGCAAAGGGGAAAAAAGAGCAAGCAATTGTAAGTTTATAATAGAGAGTGTGGGGACAACTTTGACTAGAGAAAAAAGATGTACGTTTGGGCCACGCAACCCACGTGCACGGCCACAGACACCCGACAATCCCAACCATCCATTGGCCTTTCTAGTTGTCTGAGAGAGAATAAAGAAGAAAATGTCTTAAATCTCGGGTTTTGTTTTGTACTAATTTTATTCTTTTTAAGACTACATCTTCTTAATTTAACTCTTGTACTTTAAAAGGTTTAATTTAGTATTCTATTTTTAAAATATGATTATTTTATTCTCTTAATTTCTTTTTATAATAATTTTAATATCATACCTTACTCGCTAAATTTCTTGGAACATAACCATAAATTTGTTGTATTAAAGAGTTTTTATTTTGCATAAAATTTATGTTAAAATTTTGTAAACAAAGATCAAAATAGTCATTTTTTAAAATTATAAGGATCAAAATAGATGTTTTGAAAGTATATGAATGTGAGGAAAATTGACATTTTAAAATATAGAGACCAAAATTAACCCAAACTAAAAATAAGAAGACCAAAACTTCTAGTATCATTTTGTGATTATTTTTGAACTTTTAAAATATTGTGTTGATGTCAGGTATATAGTCTTAAGGATGGATATAAAATGGGGAGGAAACGACTACGCATGGATTCGAATACAGGATCTCCCGCTCTGATATCATCTTAAGGATGAATAAACCACCACTCAACCCAAAAACTTAAGCTGATGGGTTGGGTAAATTTAATTCATTTATTGGATATCTAATATACAGAGCAAATAGAGTAGAAGGACAATAATATCAAGGGTAAGAACAGTACCCACTTGAGAGTGTGTACCGAATTCTTGCAAGCAGTTGTATAGAAAAGTCAGCTTATCTCGATTAGGGTTACTCTCTTCCTTATATATATGGAGAAAGAGTGAGCATGTTCGAATGTGAGAGGTGTCACGGTCGTACATTTTTCAACCGTGCAGCGGCATGATCTAAGCTGGACCATGGCCAGCCTTACGAGGAACTCTAGCTCCAATCCACTTTTCACGCCCCTTTGTGGCTTCGTCGGACCTTAGGCGAGGTTCTTTC